TGAGGCAGGAGGATCATTGTGAGTTCAGACCAGCCTAAGCTACAAAGTGAGCTCAAAACCAGCCTGAACTGCATAGTGAGACCCTGTCTCAAAAAAAAAAAAAAAAAAAAAAAAAGAAGGAAACAACCCTGGATGAGTATTGTCATTTTAACATTAGGATATGTCAGCCAGGTGTATAATGCACGCCTGTAATCCCAGCACTTGGGAGACAGAGGCAGAAGGATTGTTGTGAGTTTGTGAGTTCAAAGCCAGCTACATAGTGAGATCCTGCCTCAAAAAAAAAAACTTACCAAGTTAAAAAGGTATTCACATAGGGCCAGGGAGATAGCTCAGTGAGACAGTATTTACATAATGTAATCATGTACTAAAAACATGTAATTTTTTTTTTTTTTTTTTTTAAGACAGAGTCGATGTAGTTCAGGCTGTCCTTGAACTCACCATGTAGCTCAGGCTGGCTTCAAACTCATGGCAATCTGCCTGCCTTAGTTTCACAAATGCTGGGATTACAGGTATAAACCACCATGCCCAGCTAAACATTTTTATAAAAATAAATTTTTCTTAAAAGAATTTGCAAAGAAAACACAAGTTATTGAGCTGTTGTGAAGGTGTGGGCAAGTCCTTCACTCCCTAGGCCGGACCACAGAGTCTATACTTCTCTCCCATCAGAAAAACTGAAAACTCCAGGCTTCTCTGGGAGCTGATATTTTAATCAGTAGTCTGGAAAAATGGAGTCCTGGCCCAGAAATACCATGCAGGGGGGCTTTCCAGGAGAGCACCCTTTCTTCTAAGCCCCCTCTTCTTTTTTTTGCAGATTCTGATTCCCAGTACAGCCATGAAATTATGCCTCTCCTCTACCCACTGTTTGTCTACCTCCATCTCAGCTTGGTCCAGAGCAGCCCGAAGAGCACAGTGGAAAGTTTCTATAGCCGCTTCCATGGAATGTTCCTGCAGAATGCAAGCCAGAAGGATGTTATTGAGCAGCTGCAGACCACCCAGACCATCCAGGACATCCTGTCCAACTTCAAGCTTCGTGCATTCCTAGATAACAAATACGTGGTCCGTCTCCAGGAAGACAGCTACAACTACCTGATCCGCTACCTCCAAAGTGACAACAACAGTGCTCTCTGCAAAGTCCTCACCTTACATATCCACCTGGATGTGCAGCCTGCTAAGAGAACAGACTACCAGCTCTATGCCAGTGGTGGCTCCTCCCGCAGTGAGAGTACCGGCCTGGAGCCCCCAGATGTGCCCAGCCCCATTCTGCAGAATGAGGCCGCCCTGGAGGTCTTACAGGAGAGCATCAAACGTGTCAAGGATGGCCCCCCCTCCCTCACCACCATCTGCTTCTACGCCTTCTACAACACAGAGCAGCTGCTAAACACTGCAGAAATTTCCCCTGATAGCAAGCTGCTTGCTGCTGGGTTTGACAACTCCTGCATAAAACTCTGGAGTCTGCGGTCGAAGAAGTTGAAATCAGAGCCCCACCTGGTAGACACGTCACGTATTCGCTTGGCTTGTGACACTCTGGAGGAAGAGGTAGGGATGTTCCTTTTTCTTCCTTGCTTTCCTTCCTATTAGAATGCCTTTATAAACTTGTTAGCTCTTGGAGAGCACATATATCCTTATTCCTCTCATCATGCAGCCACAGCCAAATTAATGCCATTTAACTAGTCACTGAATCCTCATCCCTCACCTACGTGGCAGAAACTTTCTCACAGCATTACTTAGCTGTGTGAATGAGTGGCCAGTGTTTTATCACTGTCTGAAAACTAGATGTTATCACCAAACCTAAAGACCTTTGTCTCTTGTTCACTTTAGTTGAGATTACACTTGGTGTCCATTTGCAAGTATGTGCACTGCACAACTCTAGACATTAGAAGTGGATCTAAACCAGATGTGGTAGCACATACCTATAATCCCGGTACTCTGGGAAACTGAGGCAGGAGGGTTGCAAGTCCAAACCCAGCTTAGGCAGCTTAGTGACTTAGCAAGACCCTGCCTTTTAAATTTTTTTTAAATTAAAAAAAAAAAGTAAAGATTGAGAGTGTAGCTCAGTGCAAAAGCCCTGGGTTTAGTTCCTTTGTGCAGAAAAGGAGAAAAGAAAAAAATAAGACTGCAAGGTCAAAGGTCTGCCTTGACTGTTCCCCCACAGAAACCAGTGCTGTTTCACACTTACTAACACACTGGCATTACTGCACTGGTGGGACCAGCCTTCTGAGGCCAGTGCCTGTCCTCTGGCTCAGTGTGCCAAGGTATCCTCACACCCCACTTTGGAAAGTGACATGGGGAGCAGAGCCACCATGGCCCCTCAGTGCAGTGCTCTGTGGTCAGGCTGTGCTTCAGGGGATAGGCATGAGAAAGAAGGGAGGCGCTGGCAACCTGACTGCCACATCACCAGATGCGGCCTTAGAAAAACGTGGCCCAAAGGAGACAAATCTGCTTCACAAAGTCAACATCATGAAGGCCTGCAGAAGCTGGGGTAAATATTTCCGTCCTGTCACCACTTAAATTCAGGGAGCTGTACCTCAAGGTACTTGGCATGGAAGATTCTTGGACAGGGTTGAGAATCTAAGAATAAAAACTCACCCTGGCTAAATTGCAGTTGCTGGTGAGGACTTGGGAGTATTGTGCATGAAGCAGAAGCCCCGGCTCCCTGCGCCTGCACTGAGTCACCAGTAATCATATGGTCTTTGAACTTTGGTTCTTGGAACTGAGAGAGTAGGATGGGGGGGGTTGTTATGATTAACAAAGAATCTAGATTCCCTTTACAGCTCTGATTTCTAGAATTCTGTGATCCCACAGAATGCCTCTTGTTGCACTTACGAGACTCTTGAAACTTTCCTGTGCAGTGGAGACTTTCTGACTGCTGTTTCACATACAGCGCAGAAATGTTTCTTCCTTTACTTCCAATTTTCCGTGATTACAGAAAGATAATATTCCTGCTGATCTTAGTAGCTTTGATAATACACACTTTGGAGATTGTTCTGGCATTAAAAATTAATATAAAGGACAGTAATGCCAGGCGTGATGGCACATGCCAATAATACCAGCACTTGGGAGGTTGATGCAGGAGGATTGCTGCAAATTTGAGGCCAGCCTGGGCTACATAGTGAGTTCAAGGGCAGCCTGAACTATACAGCAAGACCCTGTTTTGAAAAACTAAAACCAAAATTAAAAAAAAAAATTAAGGATAATAGCATTATATTGTCTTAGACATTGGAGGAAGTATATTGAAGACCCATATTTAAAGATTAGCATGAGGGAAGTTCAAGAACTGACAGAAATTAAATATGGCTGAACAGAGCATGGTGACAGACACCTGTAATCCCAGCTACTTGCAAAGATTGCAAATTTAAAGTTCCTGTGGGCAACTTAGCAAGACTTCATCTCTAAATTGCCAGGTGTGGTGATACACACCTGTAATCCAAGCACTGGGGAGATGAGGCAGAAGGATCAACATGAGTTCCAGGCCAGCTGAGGCTACATAGTGAATGTAAGCCCAACCTGAACTAAAAAAACGACGTTGCCTCCAGCTGGGTGTGGTGGCGCAGGCCTGTAATCCTAGCACTCACCTGTAATTCCAGCACTCAGGAGGCTGAGGCAGGAGGATTGTTGCAAATTTGAGACCAGCCTGGACTACAAAGAGAGCTCAAGGCCAGCCTGAACTGCGTGCATAGTGAGACCCTATCTCAAAAAGACAAAAACAAACAAACAAACAAACAAAAAACCTTGCCTCAAAAAAAAAAAAAAGAGAGAGATCCTGCCTAAATAAAAAGGACTGGTGGTGTAGCTCAGTGTTAGAGCACTTGCTTAGAATGTATGAGGCCCGGGGTTCAATCACCAGTACTGCCAAAAAAGAGAGAGAGAATTAAATATGGCTGGAGCAGGGCAGGAAGTGACAGGCTGTGCTGCCTCTGCATTTGTGGTGGCTTGAGTTCAGGGAGTGGCTATGGAAAAGGAAATGGAATGGAACAAGCACAGTTCCTGTATGATACAGAAGTGGAGGAGAGGAAGCAGGGATGCTGCATCACATGCAGTGCAAGCAGCTGGGTGGGTGACTTTGGAACTGAAGTTGAGGCATCCTGTTGTTGAAGACTTCCTGAGTGGGGTTTCTGTAACTCACCCATGTTGTTACAATATTTGGGGAAGATTTCTCTTTGATTTCTGACAAGGAACATTTTAGGGAGACACGTGTAATTCAGATCAGGTAATTGATTTTTAGTGTTTTTCCAATGAAAACTTACTTTCTTCTTTCTTTCTTTAAGGTATAGTTAGAGACTCTTAGTGTGCAAGTCACAAACTCTCATACTGATAGAAGCCAAACAGGGTTACCACAATGATAGGAAATGATAGAAAGCAAGAAAGAATCATGGAAACCAAATTTAAAAGCCACTCTTGCAATCTGCTTTCATCTTTTGAAGGAGTCATTATTGCAGTTTTTTTGTTTTTTGGGGTTTTGTTCGTCTTTTTTTTCCTGGTACCAGGAATGGAACTCACGACCTTGCGCTTGCTAGGCAGGTCCTGTGCCGCTGAGCTGAATCCCCAGCCCCTATTGCAGTTTTTTGTTTGTTTTTTTGTCTTTTTTGACACAGGGTCTTGCTATGCAGTTCAGGCTGGCCTCTAGCTCACTTGTAGCCCAGGCTGATCTCGAACTCACAACGATCCTCCTGCCTCAGCCTCCCAAGTGCTGGGATTACAGGTGTGCGCCACCACGCCCGTCCTTATTGCAGTATTTTAACAATGAATATTTAAATCAGCATTCAGATCAAGCAATTCCATTTCTATATATACCCAAGAGAGTTGAAAACAAGTCCACACAACAGTGATACACAAGAGTTCATAGCAACATTACTTTCAACAGGCAAGAAATAGTAGTAGCCTAAATGTCTACCAGTAGATGAATAAATAACTGGTTTGTCCATATAGTGGAGTATATTCAGCCATGAAAAGGAATGGAGCAGTAGTTGTGAGGGTGATTTGGCTGTGACCTCTGTCACCCCTGTGATCACCAGGGTTGATTTGGCTGATCTGGCTAGCTAGGCAGGTATCCCCTTCCTCCACGTGTGTTCCTCCCAAAGAGGACTCTTTCCTTGGTCAAGGATGTGCAAGTAGTTACACTCCCCTGCTAGAACCTCCAGACAAGCTCTCAAGGAGTGGAGCACTAACATTACTGTAATATGAATGAACCTTGAAAACTTTATGGTCTGTGAAAGAGGCCAGCCACAAAAGGTCACATGCGTGATTCCATTTACAGGGAATATCTAGGATAGGTAGATCCACAGAGATAGAGGTACATGAGGGCTTGCTGGGGACCAAGCAAGAGAATGAGTCACTGCTAACAGGTACAGTAGGGTTTCTTTGTGAGGTGGTAAAAATGTTTTGTCTGATAGTGCTGCTGGCTGGGCGTGATGGCGCACGCCTGTAATCCCAGCACTCAGAAGGCTGAGGTAGGAGGATCACTATGAGTTTGAGGCCAACCTGGGCTACAGAGTGAGTTCAAAGCCAGCCTGAACCACAGAGACTGTCTCAAAAAAAATGCTGCTAATTACACAACTGTGTACTAAAATCATTGAGTTATAAACTGTAAAATAATGAATTTTACAGCATGTGGATCATATCTCAATTTTTTTTTTGAGATGAGGTCTCACTATGCAGTTCAGGCTGGCCTCAAACTCACAATGATCTTCCTACGTCAGCATCCTGAGTTCTGGGATTACAGGCGTGTGTCACTACACCTGGCCATATCTCAATTTTGCAAAAACAATAGGGCTAGGTGAGTAGCTAAGTGAGTAGAGCACTTATCTAGCGTGTGCAAGACCCTGGGCTCGACCCCCAGCACTACAAAAAGCAAAATAACAGGAAAGAAACAATAAGTGAAAGTCTCTAGGCAAGCATAAAATTTTCTCTGTTATGCCATATGAAGTGTCCTATAGCTTCTGTTATCCTGATGAAAATGCTCTAGGTCAGATCTGAGGTGGGGCCAGCAGGTATCTCCTGCGCATACTAGTGTATCTGCTCTGTATGAAAGGAGACCAGAAGATGCCTGGCCCTTGGCCTTGTTGCTTGGCAACCATGCATTTCATTGTCTGCACAGCAGGCAAAACTGCAGATAAGTCAGCCTTGGCGTTTCTCTTTGGCACATGTGCACACCTACACACACTGTGCCACATCCTGTCCTACCTTGCAGCAGAGTAGTCCTCCATTGTGAGAATACCACATTTTCTGTATCTATTCATCTGTTGATGGGCATATAGGCTGCCTCCAAGATTTAGCTATTACAAGTTGTGCTGCTATACACATGGGTATGCATGGATCACTGTAATATGATGCCTTTAACTATTTTGAGTAGATACCTAGAAGAGGAATAGCTGGATCAAATGGAATTTCTAGTTTAGTTTTTTTGAGGCATTTCCATACTGATTCCCATAGCAGTTGTACCAATTTACACTCCCACCAACAATGCAAGAGGGTTCCTTCTCCTCAGCCCCACCAGCATTTGTTATTGGTTAATTTCTTGATGATAGCCATTCTTTCTGGAGTGACATAGAATCTCAGCATTGTTTTAATTTGCATTTCTGTAGTGGCCAGAGATGTCAAGCATTTCTTCATGTATTTATTGGCTTTTTTTTTTTTTTGCGGTACCAGGGATTGAACTCATGACCTTGTGCTTACCAAGCAGGCGCTTATGCCACTGAGCTATATCCCCAACCCCTTATTGGCTATTTTTACTCATTCTGAGAAGTGTCTATTCATTTACATAGTCTAGTTTTGACTGGGTCTTTTATTTGGGGGGAGTCTAATTTTTTTGAGTTTTTTATATATCTAGATATTAGTCCTCTGTCCAAATGGAGCTGGCAAATTTTTGTAGGTTGTCCCTTCACTCTGTTGTTTCCTTTGTTGTGCAGAAACTTTAACTTGATGTGATCCCTTTTGTTGATTGTCTGTATTATTTCCTGTGCAACTGGGATTCTGTTCACAAAGTTCTTGCCTATGCCTGTCTTCAAGAGCTTTACCTTTTTGTCTTCCAGCAAGTTGTTTCTGTTTTAACATTTGGTTCTTCAATCTGTCTTGATTTTTTTGTACATGGTAAGGGATACCATGTCCAGCACCACAGTTAATTCATTAACCAATCAGTCAGAGGAGCTGGGTGTGGTGGCGCATGCCTGTAATCCCAGCACTTGGGAGACTGAGGCAGGAGGATTATTGTGAGTTCGAGACCAGTCCAGGCTACGAGTGAGCTCAAGGCCAGCGTGAACTGCATAGTGAGACCCTGTCTCAAAAAGACAAAAAAAAAAAAAAAAAAAGAGGCTGCAGTTCAGTGGTAGAGCACTTGCCTAGCATGCATGACAGCCTGGGATCCACCTACAGCACGAGTGAGTAAGCCTTTGGGTTCCATTCGGGTACAGTTTAGTTTTGAAAAGTCTCTGTAACTATAGGAAGTGTCTTGTGTCTGTCACTAAGTGGAGGCCTGCACAGTGGAAGCTAGGACTCCTGGGGTCTTTGGTGGCTCAGGGACTCTTCTGAGAGCCCTCCCCAGGCTGGCTGTGTAAACAGAGGAGCCTCCCCACACATGGCCTCCCCTGAGCACCAAGTGGAAACAAAAAAAGTGTGTGTCTGTGTTTTGAGGCAGGGTCTCACTGCATAATTAAGGCTGGTGTTAAACTCACTTTGTAGCCCAAATTGGTCTCAAACTCTTGTCAGTCTTCCAGCTCAGCCTCTCAAGTTCTGGGATTACACATGTGCACTACCATGCCTGGTTTGCTTTCTAGTCTTGACCTCACAAGCCCAACTTCCTGACAGCAACAGGAAAGGTGGCAGGCATGGTGGCGCACACCCGTAATCCCAGCATTTGGGAGGTTGAGGCAGTAGGGTCACTGTGAGTTCAAGGTCAGCCTGGGCTACATAGTGAGTTCAAGGCCAGCCCGAACTACATAACAAGACCTTGTCTCAAAAAAAAAAAAAAAAAAAAAAAAAAAAGCCAGGAATGGGGGAACCTTCCTTAAACCCCACCCCCGGGGGGGGGGAAAAAGGGGATCGTTGCAAGTTTGAGGCCAGCCTGGGTTACAAAGTGAGCTCAAGGCTGGCCTGAACTGCATAGTGAAACATTGTCCCAAAAAAGACAGAAAAAAAAAGAATAGGGAAGATTTATGGTTGAGTGAGAGCTGAGGCTTGGGTGTCATAGTTCAGGAGCAAACCCCTGTAACACTTGAAGTTTTCACAGCAGACCACAGTACCAAGATGTGTAAGATGGTATTTGATGATATGTTTGCATTTGTCTTTATTAATCTTTTAAATTTTGTAATTACATTTATAGTTTATTATTACATGAATACACTCTGCAAGTTAACATTTCATGTTTGGGATGCTGCATGCCCAACTACTGTGGGTTCTTACACAGCATCATGAGTACTTGAGAGCATTGTCCTGTCAGAAGAGGAGGTGGGATTGAGGTGCTTTGGACTGCACTCCTGGCAGGGAGCTGACAGTGACGGCAGCAGGAGCACTCTGGTGTCTCCATTTCTTGGTATTCATAGTAGCGGGCAATTCTCCAGACTCTGGATGGTGTTTGGGATCCCTGGGAAGGCCTAGCTAGCTCTGCATCCTGCTGTCCAGCCCCAGGCAGATGTTAGGTACCCTCCAGAAGTGAAGACTTGTGCCGTAGCTACCCATCCACATGAAGCCCACTTATACCTCAAAAGTAGCCTCAAAGGATATTGATGCAGTTTGTGCAAGGTCATTTTTGCTCCCATAGTCCTTGTATAAACTTTCTAGTACAAAGCAATGCACCAGCGTGCTCCCGTGGGCCGGGGATATAATTCAGTAGCACAAGTGCTTGTTTTGTTTTGTTTTTGTTTGTTTGTTTTTGAGACAGGGTTTCACTATGTGGTTCAGGCTGTCCTTAAACTCACTATGTAGGCTGGCCTCCAACTTGCAGCCATACTCCTGGCTCAGCCTTCTGAGCTCTGGGATTGTAGTACAAGCATACGCCACCACAGCTGGCAAGTATTACTCTTTGGAGAAGAAAATTGCTAACATACTCAGTAACAGTAGAACTTTGGGCTTCCCTATGCTTGTATACCTGAATTTTTAATTTGAAGTGTCTGGAATGGCCATTTTGAATATTCTGAGATACTAGTGTTTATTGTCTCTTAACTCCATCAAGTATATATGCACATTGAAAGTGTCCATTTTATTTTGACTTTGTTTTCAAGTAGAAAGAAGGGTACCTTGCAAAAATGGTGTCCCTTTACTCATAGGACCCAGCAAAACTGAGGGATTCCACAGCACTATTCATCCTGCTTCTTTTAATGTTTGGTGAAAGTTTACTGCAGTCATAAATCCTAGGATAGACACAGCTGTAGTTTAAGGAGTTTGTCTGTGAGGGATTAAAGGGAATAGATTTGAAAGCAGGGGATCTCACTATGCGGAAGGCTATGGGAGCAGACTTTTTCCAAGAACTGTTACTAGCCGTTTCCTTTCCCATCCTCATGTACAGGAAGTTATCTCCAGGAGCCCGAAGAGTCACATGGCTTTGTTTTAGCAGTTCTAGATCCCTGCCTTGTCTTGTTACTTTGGGAGAAATGTCTGAGGCCCTCCAGAAAGTCAGTGTTTTAAACTTGTTTTGTATCAGTACTTGGGGGTTGGACTCAGGTTCTCAAGCATAGTAGGCAGGCACTACCACTGAGCTACACCCCAGGTCTTCATTTCTTCAAAGACACTAGCTGTTTATGGCAGCTCGTGTGAGGGAGGAGGGTGTGGCACACTGCTAACCACCTGTTCTGCCTTGCTCTTCTTACACATCTAGGTTTTATTTTAACCATATTCTATAGTTCTGCGTTACTCATGAAGTGAGACTTTGTGTGCACGTGTGGCAGCCTTCATCATTCCCCCATTGTGGGGTAATGAGCCTCTATCTTTTGGTTGGGTGTGTGTGTGTGTGTGTGTGTGTGTTTTTGTACCAGGAATTTAACTCAGGATCTTGTGCTTGCCAGGCAGGCCCTGTGCTGCTGAACTATCTCCCCAGGCCTATGTGGATATTTTTAAATGGAATAGAAGCAGGGAGCCACATGGCTTATGAAGCAGCTAGAACTGGTAGGAAGATGGTGCCATAGAGGATGAGAACCTAAGAACTTAACGTAAACTCAAAAGCCAATCTTTTCAAGTGACATACATCAGAGTGAACAGTAAAAGTTAACCATCAGCTGCCTCCAGTCAGATCTGATGCAACATTATCCTGCATTTGAGAGCAGAGCACACAGGCAGGATGCTGTGATAACAGCCTTGCTCCTCTGTCTGATCTGCTGTGGTCTTAGTTACACATTGGATTTAAGGAAAGTATTTGGCAGGTTGTGACTCTACCCAGTGATGCAGTTCTATTGAGAGTTGTTTCCTGGGTGTGACTATAGGGCAGGACCACTGTTGGGACAGGTGCTCTTTCTCAAGCAGGTTGACCTCTGTCTGTTCTTCACTTTGGTCTGTCTTTTTGTGAGGCTGATAAACTTTTTTTCTTGTGTGTTTCTCTTCCATCCCACCCCAATGTCCCAGGAGGATGAGGAGGACAGCGCAGGCACAGAGATGAAGATCTTGCGGGGACACTGTGGACCAGTGTACAGCACACGTTTCCTCACAGACAGCTCAGGGTTGCTCTCTTGTTCTGAGGACATGTCCATTCGGTACTGGGATCTGGGGAGTTTCACCAACACTGTGCTGTATCAAGGACATGCCTACCCTGTGTGGGACCTGGACATCAGCCCCTACAGCCTATACTTTGCCAGTGGGTCCCACGACCGCACCGCAAGGCTGTGGTCCTTCGATCGGACGTACCCACTGAGGATATATGCAGGACATCTGGCAGATGTGGACTGTGTCAGATTCCACCCTAACTCTAACTACTTAGCCACAGGTTCAACCGACAAGACTGTCCGGCTGTGGAGTGCCCAGCAGGGGAACTCGGTGAGGCTTTTCACAGGCCACCGTGGCCCCGTGCTTTCTCTGGCTTTCTCTCCCAATGGGAAGTACTTGGCATCTGCTGGCGAGGACCAGCGGTTGAAACTGTGGGACCTGGCCTCTGGGACCCTTTTTAAAGAGCTGAGAGGCCACACAGACAGTATCACCAGCCTCGCCTTCAGCCCTGACAGTGGCCTAGTGGCCTCTGCCTCCATGGACAACTCGGTGCGCGTGTGGGACCTTCGGAACACGTGCTGTAGCGCTCCCGCAGATGGCTCCTCCAGTGAGCTCGTGGGTGTGTACACTGGGCAGATGAGCAGTGTCCTGAGTGTGCAGTTCATGGCTTGCAACTTGCTTCTGGTGACCGGGATCACACAGGAAAATCAGGAGCACTGATTCTTACCTTGGCTGGAATGGACTGGGCTGTGGTGAGAGGCTCTGGCCACAGCATGGACATGCTGAGGAAATTACTGATGGACTGTGAAAGAGCCTGCCCACTGTTCAGCCTCAGTGTCATGGGACTCAGGCAGGGCCTGGGCATGGCTTGGTGATGCCTGGACTCGAGATGAGCACTAGGATGCTCTGAGGTCGGTGGCATGTTCCTAGAGGACCCTTGGGACCTCGTGTGCAAGCACCTTCCTGTTTGCATCTTGTCCTCCAGCGTGCTTACTGAGGGCAGTTGCCAAGTGCTCTCCACGGCACCCCTAGACGCCTTTAGTTGGGCCACCCTCAAGGAGGGAAGTGGGGACAGAACTGGGAAAGGGAGCGATGGTCCTTTTCCTGGATGACAGAACCAGGATTTTCTATTATTGTTATTATGATTATTATTATTACTGCGAAGAGGAGACCTAGCACTGGCAGAGGGGAACATCTCTGCTTCTATCTTCAGGTTTGACTCCTGGCACTGGCTGTGATACTTGTAATTTTGAGCTTCAGGGAATTCAGAGATTTTGGTGGCACAGTGTATCAGGAAAGAGTGAAGTCTTGAGTGCACGTTGAGCACACCAAACCATACCTATATGGAAGTCGGTGGGTGGGTTGACTGAGAACACTGGGCTCTTGCAGTGATGGTGGGAAAGAGTCTTGGCTGCACTTCTATCAATAATTCTTTCCCCTGAAAACAAAGATTATGGTAGGGTGGGGTGCAGCTTAGTGGTAGCACATTTGCCTAGCATGTGCGAGGCCCTGGGCTCAATCCCTAGTACCTCCAAAAAAATGATTATGGTAAAGAATAATTTGGAGTAAGTCATAAAATAGAATTAGTGTTAGATTTCGGAGTGACTGTTAATCAGCTCTCTCTCCTGCAGTGAGCGCATCACGAGGTGAATCCTGAGTGTGCATGCACATGTCAAACTGTGCCCTGAGGATAAAGCAAGTTCTAATGTATGGGGAAAGGATTAAATATTTCTTTTTTTCCAAAAAGAGTTATTTTGTATTTTGTTTTCTATTAAAATGTATTTAGTTTCAAAAAAACACAGGAGTCAGCATCTCATTTACCCTACTGAGACAAATGTGGTCTGTCCTGAGGGGCTCTGGCTTCTCTTGAAGGCAGTGGCCAGACTTTAGCTACACTGGCCCAAGGAAGGTAGGTACACTTTCATCTACTTTTCTGCTCAGCCTAGTTCACTTTGAGTCCTGATTCTTCTTGACATCACTCTACAATTTAACATGTCACAAGATAGCCAACTTGGGCCAGGGATATAGCTCAGCGGCACAAGCGCCTGCTTGGCAAGTGCAAGGTCCTGAGTTTGATTCCCAGTGCCAAAAAAAAAAAACCAAGATAGCCAACTGGAGACAAACATTGTACCAACTAGAATTCCTGGGAATTCCTGATTCCAGCTTCCTTGAAAGGTTCCATTAAAAATCCATAAGGACCATAAGAGCTAGGTTGTTTGAAAAAACTATTCGCTCCCTGGGCATGGTGGCATATTCCTGTAATCCCTGAGGCTGAGGCAGAACTGCTGCAGATTTGAGGCCAGCTGGGTATATAGCTCAGTGGCACAAATGCAAATTGTGCTACTATTTGCAAGTGCAAGGTCCTGAGTTCAATTCCCAGGGCAAAAACAAAAATTTGAGGCCAACCTGGGCTACACAGTAAGAATTGAAGGTCAGCCTGGACTACTGGTCTGTCTCAAAAAACCAAAAACAAAAGTTTATATACCTTTTAAATTAGTTTCATTGAGTAAAGAAAGAATGGCCAGGGGATACCATTTCTCTGTTTGAAATCTTTGAATGCAGTTGGAAAATAGCACAGGAAGTAACACCAAAAATTTAGGGTTTTTTGTTTTGTTTCCTGTACTGAGGATTGACCCCTCACACTAATATATCCACAGCCCTTTTGTTGTTGTTCTGTTTTGTTTTATTTTGTTTTTTTTGTTTTGTTTTGGGTGTTGCTAAACTGCCCGGTGTGGGGTTGAAGCACAGTCCTGCTTCAGCTTCCCAGAGTGCTGGGAATACACAAGTGCACCACCACTTCCAGCAGATTTTACTTTCAGTTTTTAAAAATACAAAGCATGCTTTGAAATGTAATTTTGTTTCAAGACCAGCAATTATCAGGAAATTAAAAAGATTAAAATGTTACGCCAATTTTGTTTTAGTTGAGCCTACATTGCTAATTCATCAGAAATGTTACTGATAAAATTCACATATTTGGGCCACGTATGGTGGCACATGTATGTAATCACAGCATTCAATAGACTAAGGCAACGCCGAGTGTAGTGGTGCATGCCTGTAATCCCAGCATTTGGGAGGCTGAGGCAGGAGGATAGTTGCGAATTCAAGACCAGCCTAGGCTACAAAGTGAGCTCAAGGCCAGTTTGAACTGCATAGCAAGACCCTGTCTCAAAAAAGACAAATAAATAAATATATTTTAGATACTACGAAGGCCCCATTGCAGCCTGCCTGACAGTAATACTGTGCTCTGTAGGGGAACCCTGGAGTAAAGTATGGTATTGACTGTAAGGAGAACCCTTGGGTCACACTGTGACAGATCACCAGAAACACCTGTCTGGAGAAGCCTGTGTGATGTTTAGGATGACCCAGAAAGGTTCTGTGTTCTTGATTGATGTAGAAGCCCTTTGAAGCTTAAGCAAACAGGGCTGCCCAGTGTTCACGTCACTAGCCACATGTGTACTTTGTGATTTTAGTTCAGTTCCTATAGGGTTTTGTTTCTTTTGTGGACTAGTGTTAGTGCAGGATAGCTTGATTTTATAAACGGTCCTTTATAGCTTTTCCAAACTTAGGTGTTAAAAGGTGATGAGTTACCAGATGTGGTGCCACACACCTGTAATCCCAGCACTCAGGAGGCTGAGGCAGGAGGATTGTTATGAGTTTGAGACCAGCCGGGGCTACAAAGTAAGCTCAAGGCCAGCCTGAACTGCATACCGAGACCCTGTCTCAAAAAGACCAAAAGAAAAAAGAAAAGGTGTTGAGTACCTGTACTCAAGGTCCACTTGACAGGACCTTCTCCCCCTCAGAACCCCGCCCATCCACCCCTCACCCCTCTGGCGGACTGGAGACAGCACCACCTGGTAGACCAGGTACCTGAAGTTCAGCAGAGGGCATTACCATTTGTACTCTGTGAGGACCCACATGTGTCCTGGATGGGTTCTGAGGTTCATGTAGCACACATTCAAACAAGAGCATAGCCCTGAAGACAAAGAACTTTCTTTACAAAACTCTCCAAAGCCGATTGTGGTGATCGATAATCCCAGCACTCAAGAGGCTGAGGCAAGAGGATTGCTGTGAGTTTGAGGCCAGACTGGGCTACATAGTGACTTCAGGGCCAGCCTGAACTACATACTGAGACCCTGTCTCAAAAGGAAACCAAACCTTCAAAGGAAATATGACACATCTCTGCAAAGTATGTAAAAGCTCAGAAAAATCTGACAAATTGTTATTTAGTAGAAGACTGGCCAAAAGAGAGAAAATTAAGAGGCCGGTGACAACTTGGCCTCTTGAATCTGTTATCTCCATGAGTATGCAAACGTCTATTTGCTGATTTCTTGAGCATAGTAGGTGGCATAAAGAATATAAGGTGCCCACAGTGAGCACCAGTGTGGTGCTCCCACATCACACTTAGTGGTCTGAGGTAATGTTTCGAGGTCTCTGTTCCAGACCCAACATCTGATGACATCCTGATTCTGCCTTTTCCTATGTTTCCTATGTGTTCCATGTTTAAATGTCCTAGCTGTGTAAGGAAGTGTGTCATGTGCACAGACTTCTGACTTCAGGTGGCCAGGACTGCACTTGATCTTGACCTTCAGTAGTGAGGTGCTCATCAGATATACCCAGCCCACACCAAGCTCCCATCTAGCTGATGTCCAAGTCCTTCCCAGTGACTTCGAAACAGCTTATGGGAAACAATCTCTCATAGAAAATGTAAGTAATACATGTGTCCCTCGTCATGTGACTTGCTAGGAGACAACCTAGTTGCTTATCCATGGTTAGAATTTTCTTAAAGAAATACTTGGGCTGGGAAGGGAAGAGTATTTTAGTTGGCTGGCATGGGTGGCCGGCCTTTATGTGTAGAAGGTAAAGCCAAAACCTGAGAGGGGACTTGTGCAATTGAACTCCAGCCCCAGGTTGCTGGCCTAGGGTAAGTCCCTTGGCCTCTTGAATCTGTTGTCTCCATGAGTATGCAAACATGTCTATCTGCTGATTTCTTGACCATAGTAGGTGGCATAAAGAATATAAGGTGCCCACAGTGAGCACCAGTGTCTGTGCTCTCCCACGTCACACTTAGTGGTCTGAGGTAATTTTTCAAGATGCAGCCCAAGCTGCACAGAGCTGCTGGGAGAGGCAGCCTGTGCCTCCAGTTGTGCTTCTGGGGCTTCAACATCCTTCCTCACTCTGTCTTCCACCTGAGGCTCACTGCAGCCTCCACTCCTACCTTTGCCTAATTCCGGAACTCTGTATGCATTGGCATTCTGGATACAGAGGGGCTCGGCAAACAGAAGCAGACCTGGCCATGCTGGCCCAGGCTGCAGGCTGCCTTCTCCTTCCCTGTTCTCTGCCGTGAGAGATGTTTGCACACAATTGACTATGGGGGTGGGAAGGGCGCATCTTGAGATATCCTGTGCAGAAATGGAACAAAGTAACATTTTAAAGGAAAAGCAGTGATCACTATCACCACTTTTGTATTACTTATACATTGACTTCAAAAATAATGAAGCACCTTTGATATGTATTTATGTGCCAGGCATGGTGGTGCACACCTGTAATCCTAGCACTCAGGAGGCCAAGGCAGGAGGATCGTTGTGAGTTCGAGGCCAGCCTGAGCTACAGAGTGAGCTCAAGACCAGCCTGAACTGTATGGCGAGACCTTGTCTCAGAAAGACCCAAAGCAAACAAACAAACAAAAAAAATTAAAAGAAAAAAAGGTTATGAATGTATGTATGTATATATGTACTAACTAAATTCCTCTGCTTCCTTAGATCACATAAAAACTAAATTCAGTCAGGTCTGGCAGGAAAAAAAACCTGAGGTGGCATTTAAGAGGTTCACATTTTCAGTCAAGTGGTGCCATCAGATGATCTAGAAATATTAAATGATAAACCTAGCCTATCTCCTACTAATAACAAGGAAAAGGTAATAAACATGTCCAGAGAAAACAACTCCAAAGTTAAAAAATCAGCTGAGGTCATGAAAATCAACTATGGTGATATTTGCACAACACTGTGAATATATTAAGAATCATTGAGTGTTAGGTTTTAAATGGAGAACGGATGTCCTATGGGTTAGATCTTAATCTGTCAACAAAAAACTTTGAGAAGATGCACCTCCTCAGCACTCAAGAGGCCTAGACAGGACTGTTCCGAGTTCAAGACCACCTGGGCTACAAAGTGAGCTCAAGTCCATCCTGAACTGCATAGGAAGACCCTGTCTCAAAAAGACAAAAAAAAGAGAAGATGCACCTCAGTTGGAGCAGCTGGCCTGTAGTGGGCGCATTAATGCTTGCTGAGGGCCAGCGTAGGAGGGGGCACTCTTGGCGGCTGTGTGCCCACAGGAAGGACAAGGCAGCTGCTGTGCCTTTGAGCTTAAAGGAGACATCAGCTCAGCTGCCACAAGGCTTTTGAGGCTGCACTTGCTGGAGGTTAATCCCAGATACTGACTCAGCACATCAGGTTTTAGATCTGAATTGCTCTAGTTTATTTTGATATTTTTAAAAATGAGATTTATACTTCCTAAAAGTATCTCTAAATTTTTTGAAGTGCTTTTTATTGATTGAGCCAATATTAATTGGTTTATCAGTGCTTCTTTTTATGGCAGAGGCTCACTTTGTAGTTTAGGCTGGCCTAGAGTGCACTGTGATCATCCTGCCTCAGCTTCCTGAGTGCTGGGATTACAGGCATGCACCACAACACATGGAACTCAGTGTTTTCTAAGTTTGTGTCTTAACTGTAAGACAAGTTCAAGCCTGA